TGAATATTTTGAATTCTCTAAGTTTCCTAATAATAACATCATTGGAATTACAACCTGAATTAATCTGAAGGAAGACATACTACAAAATTTCATACTCTTCTGACCAACTATTTGGTTAGCTGATTCAAGCCACTGGGAGCTATAAAGTCACACAGAATACCAACTAATGCAAGCATTTAGGAATGACATATTGCTCCCAACATACAAAGTTTCTCCATTCCAAATATTTATACAAGGCTGGGTATGGTGATTGTAATCCCAGCTACCCAGGAGGTAGAAGTGGGATGATTATGGTCTGAGATCAGCTCCAGCAAACTTATCTTGAGATGGTATCTGAAAAACAAACTAAAAGCAAAAGGACTGAGGGTATATACCCTCAAGTGAAGTCATGAGTTCAATTCCTAGGAACTGACAAAGGAAACTAAGATAAAGACAAAGTAAAGGTTAATAATTTAGAAGGAACTTGAGGTGCATGAGCTATAGATACTGCAAAATTTTTTAACATAAATATCAAAGCAGAAACTAAAATAGCTTATAAACCCTAGTGAAACCCTTGGAACAATTTGTACATACTTTTAAAAGAATGACGGAGCTGGGCACCAGTGTCTCACAACTGTAATCCTAACTACTCAGGAGTCTGAGATCTGAGGATCACAGTTCGTGTGACTCTTATCTCTGATAAACTACTCAGAAAAGGCTGGAAATGGTATTGTGGTTCAAGTAGTAGAGTGCTAGCCTTGAGTAAAAGGAGCTCAAGGGCAGCACAGCAGCCCCCAGGACTGGCCAAAAAAAAGGAAGAATGAGCAGAAGCTGATTCCTGTGACTCACCTCCTGTAATCCTAGCTACTTAGGAGGTTTAGATCTGAGAACCACAGTTCAAAAGCCAGACCATGATACTCTTATCTCCAAAAATTACCAAAAAGCCAGAAGTGAAGCTGTGGCTCAAGTGGTAGAGTGCTACTCTTGAGCAAAAGCTCAAAGACAGTATCCAGGCCCTGAGTTCAAGCCTAGGATCCGTACAAAAAAAAAAAAGAAAGAAAAAGAAAAAAGAAGACTAAAAATGACAGGAAAGAAAAACTGGCTCTCTTGGGGAATGACTATCAGCAAAAACAAGGAAGGCAAATGAAGATGAATATGATAAAAAATAAAACAATGAACTTATTAAATTTTTTTCTCACAAGAGTGATAGAAGACTTGATCAGGATATCTTGTATTCATGAAAACTAATGTATGCTAACAAGTCTTTAAAAAACCATCAGGCACCAGCAGCCAGCTCACATCTATAATCCTAGCTACTCAGAAGGCTAAGGTCTGATTATCACAGTTTGAAGCCAACCTTGGCAGGAAAGTCTGTGAATCTTATCTCGGCTAAAAACTAAGAAAAACCAGAAGTGGAACTGTGGCTCAAGTGGTTGAGCACAGGCTTTGAGCACAAAAGCTCAGCGCCCAGGCCCAGAGTTCAAACCTCAAGACTGGAAAACAAAACAAAAACTAAAGTTTTATGTCATATGAAGTATAATGCATTCTCTTTCACGGGTTTTATTCCAAATAGTTTTTAAAATTGTTCTCTGCAATTCAGTAACACTGTGTCTTTTAAAAGCCTCTGTATGTATTCGAATTATATAAATAAGCACACTTACAAAATATAGGGAAGATAAGATAATGTATTAACTATTTATAACTGGCAAGTTTGTGGATAAATCTAATTTTCTTTTTAGCTTGATCTATTTCTACAATAACTAGGAAGTACTTTAATAAAAAATAAAACAGGAAAAGTAAAGAGAGGTATTTTCCTTAAATCCATATTAACATCAAACTTTTGAAGTTCAAATTTGCTCACTGATGAAGTTGAAATCAGCCAAGCCTGGTGGTGCACCCTGTAATCCCAGGCCTCAAGAGGCTGAGGCAGGCAAGACTTTGTCTCTAAACAAACTAATAACAACAAAATGTTTAAAAAATAAAATGTCTACAGATGTCCCACCACAGATGAATGGATCCAAAAATTGTGGTATCTATACACAATGGAATATTATGCAGCCATTAGAAATGACAAAATAATGGCATTTGCAG